CAAACAGTGTAAGTATCCCAGAAAGTGTGACCATAATTAGAGAGGGGGGAGGAGACATTATCAGGGAGAAGGCCCCTAATCCTCATATTCCTGTTCTGTCAATTTCCGGCTCATTTCCATTTGCTGTTAGGCCCACAACTGGGCGTTTTGATTTTCAGACATTTTCAATAATTTAGTAAAACAACCCCTCCCATCCATCTCCTCTAACGGCCAATAGAGGGCAGACTGCCTCTTCTTCTAGACTCCATCAATGGCATAGCATTCTAAAACCCTTTCCTTTTAGTCTGGCTTTTTTTCTGTCCCCACTGCTGCCCCCAACGCCAGTTTGGAAGACTCCCTTCAACCTCAACTATACCTTTCAAGTGCGTATTTTAGAGGTATTTACTAAAATCAAGAGAGAAGGGCCACAGAGTTTATTTGGATATCGTTTTCCTCTAATTCTCCCCTGTACTTCCTTTTCAACTGATTCATTCATCCATCCATGTTAAGTGCCGTCAGGTGGGTTCCGACCCATAGCGACCCTGTAGAGGGTTTCCAAGGAGTGACTGGTGAGCTTGAAATGACCAATCTTGCAATTCAAACTGCCTTAGCAGTCCAGCGCATTAATCCACAGGGTTACACCAGGACTCCCTTGGTGGTGGTAGTAGTGGCGGTGGTGATACGCTGTGGAGTCGGTTCCGACTCAGCCCTGCATAGGGATTCCAAGGCTGTAAATAAATCTTTACGGGAGCAGAAAGCCTCCTCTTTCTCCCGCAGACAACTGGTAGTTTCAAACTGCCAATCCCAATTGTAACCATTACACTACCAGAGCTCCTTAGGACTCCATTGTTGTTGTCATGTGCCATCAAGCCAATTCTGACCCATAGCGACCCTGTATACGCTTTCCAAGGAGCAGCTGGTGAGCTTGAACCACCGACCTTGCCCATACATCCTCGTAAATTCTGATGGGGTTCAAAGCTATTTAAATAATTTTTACAATGTCTGTTATAAAAGAGAAAACAGAGGTACTTAATATAGAGAGCAAATAAGAAAGACTTCTCACAGGAGGCATTAAGCCAAATTCCATGTATGGTTCTAACTCATTTGTATATGCTACCTGGGACCCATATAATTCATTCCACTTTCTCCCTAAGTCCCAATTGTCACCAGGATGTGTCCACCTAACCTCCCTCTGTACTCTTAGTTTGATCACTGAGGGTGAGTGAGCATTTTTTCAAGCATTTCTCACTGCCTTGACTCTGTCCACATCCAGGATGGAAGAGAAGAAATAATGTTTTCATATCTGAGCTCCTGATTTACACACTAACTTCAGATAAATTACCAACCCCTTGCAGGTTTCTCATTTGCCACAAGTTAACTGGCTTTTCTATTACTTTTTTATGTTATGGCGCTGTGGATTAATGTGCTGGACTGCAAGGTTGGTTGGAACTGTAAGGTCAGCAGTTCAAGTTCACCAGCCACTCCTGGGAAACCCTACTCAGGGTCGTTATGGGTCAGAACCTACTCAATGGCACTTAACGGCAACAATTACTTTTTTAATGACTATTAATTCTATAGCAAAGAACCACATGAAACTTAAAAATTCTGAGCTGATATACCCATCTTAATCTTAGGAATCTCTCCAGCCCATTTTATGTGTAGCTTGAATCCCTTCATGAGAAGTCAGTCTTGCTCACCTTGTGTCTGTCTACCTTACAGATAGTACTATCACTAAAATCCCAGGAATAATGGATGGTGGCCTCTATACTGTTCCTGCCTTTGTTCAATCTTTAGCTTTTTACAACCCTTAATACTCATATATTGCCTTAACACAAACACGCACATACCCACACAAAAGCAGAATCCTGACATCATTATTAAACCCTTTTTCCAAACCATAGTAACTGTCTCATTTCTACATTTTTGTCCATCATCTCACCTTGTCTTTTCCTGTTGGGTGTTATCTGTTACCTAGTGACTTTATACTTGCATTTAAACAGAAATACAGATAACCTCCTCTGCAAGAATGGGAAGAAACTTTTAACACAGCACAATGATGACAGTTTGTTGGCAAATCCCATGATGAAGTTAGTGCTGGTTATCAATTGTGTATTGTTGGTTTTTTTTTTTTAATGTGTGGTATTACTAAGAGAAAGCTAACATATTTTAAATTATCTTACCATTTAATACTTAAAATGATAGCGCCTTTAGAGGTAGTCTAGTTTTACTCAAGGACTCCTGTTGGCACTATAAGCACTGGGTTGCAAATCATAAGTGGTAGGCAGTTCAAACCCACCAGTTGCTCCACCGGAAAAGATGAAACTTTCTGTTCCAGTAAAGATTTACAGCCTTGGAAACCCTATTTAGGGTCACTATGAGCTGGCATAGACTCAAATGCAGTGGGCTTGTTTTTTAGTAATCTGACACAATTGCAGAAATTGTCTCTACAACATCTCTGGAAACTACTCATCCGAAAAGGAATTTAAACCCTTCTAAAAGGAGCTCTGGTAGCGTAGTGGTTACGAATCGGGCTGCGAACCTTAAGGTCAGCGGTTCGAAACTACCAGCCTACTCCCGTAAAGATTTACAGCCTCGGAAACCCTGTCCAGGGTCGCTATGGGTCGGAACCGACTCAACGGCACTTAACAACAACAACAAAAATCCTGGTGTGGTGCTGTAGGCTAAGTACTGAACTGCTAACCAAAAGACTGCTGGATCAAACCCTCTGTGGGTGGGTGTGACACTATAAGACAGCACTTAGAAGCAACAATACAAATGGGATGCTCACTCCCCATCACATTATTGAACATCTTTGCTATGATCCTCTGAGTGTTGTTGTTAAGTGCCTTGGAGTCTGAGCAGCTGGTGAATTTGAACTGCTGACCCTGTGGTTCAAACTAACCTTTGGGACTAATGCTTTATCTCACAGCGCCACACCAGGACTCAGATCCTCTGATAGTCAGTGGTAATCAATGAACCTCTTCTCCTTCCTTAGGACAAATATGATTGGAGAAATGTTTAGGTTATGAAGCGACTGGGGAATATTCCACTGGTAACTTTGGCTCTTTGCTGCAGGATTAGAGTGGTTAAACCAAAATATTTATCATAAGTATAAATCTGTTCCGCAAACAGAGGATTTCAAAGGCATCTTTATTTCCTTTTTCCTTTACGCTGCTGGGCTATTAACTTTTGGTTCATTCGTCACCATTTTCAGGATCCATTCTGCTGCCTTTTTCCTGCAGCCAATTCGTCTTGGAACAGAGGGTCAGCCATTCATTCCCATCTCACTTCTGCCACAAGATTTGATTTTTGTGTGTGTCAATTTTTTGTCTATTCACTAATTTTATTGACCCTGGTAGACATCTTGCAGTTGGGTGGGTCACTGAAGACCCGATCATTGCTTCCCACGCTTTCCAGAATCTTTTCCAACAGTCACTGAAGACAATCTCCACACGAAGCATTTTGCATCACTTTTTTTTTAACCTGGTTTATCACCAAGGATATTTAAAACACATCTTTTTTATTAATACATTCATAATAATCAAACAATAACAACAACAACAAAAAGCAACAACCCACCGCAGCAGTCCTAGAGCCTGGGAAAGAAAATGCCAATGTCAGATGACATTAATGATGAATGAGATACGGGTTTAATGTCATGTCAAGACTTGTAATAATCCAGTATTCGGCCTTACTCAAGGGAGAAAAAATTCAGCTCTCTTACTTTCCAGTTACCCCTTCCCATAACATAGCACCTAGACACAGACAGTTGAGCGACAAAACATACAACAACGTAGGATGTGAACAATTAAAATTCAACTCAAGATACAGCGGCACACAACAGACTACCTCCACCCCCCCCCCCCCCCGCCGAATATTTACATAGACCATTTAAAGCACTTAATTAATTCACCAGCAGCTTCGCTGGAGACGTCTCGAGCTTCTCGAGACTCCATTACATAATATCTTTTACAAAGTCTATTCCCAGCTCGAATGGAAGATGGATTCTTATCCAGTTTGCGGAGGTTCCTTGAGGTTTCTTCCTTTCCCCGGGGTTCGATCCGGCGGGTGCCCCAACCAAAGCTGCAGCGACTCCTTCGGCCCCAAGCTTTGGGGGTCTAGGTCAGTCTCCGAACTCCTAACAGCCCCTAGAGATGCAGCCGCCTCACCCTCGGGGCTCGTAAGCCATTTGCCACAGAGCCTCCCGGCGCTCGGGACGACACCACTCTGGCGGTTTACTGAGTCCGCCCAGAGCCCCAGGCTGCAGCCCGCCGGGCATTTAGGGGCCAACGAAGAGCGCGGCAGCCCGGCTGCAGGGCCGGCTCGGTGCGCCGGACTCGGAGAGGAGGAGGAGGGGGAGGAGGTGGAGGCGAGCTAAGGAGGAAGGGCCCGGCCGCCGAGAAGGGGGGGTGGGGAGGGGACCGGCCAGCAGGGAGAGGTGGGGGGGCAGCCAATGAGCGGCGCGCGGCGCGGGGGGGCGAGGTCTGGGGGATGAGGTAGGATGGGGGAGGGCGCAGCCCGAGCAGCAAAGGCTCGAGCCATAAACAAGCGCCCGGAGGAGCCTCGCAGGAGTGAGGCGAGCGGGGCGCGCGGAGCGGACGCCTCGGACCTTCTGCTGCGCCACCGCGCCCACTCGGCGGCTCGGGAGGCGGGGACCCGCCCGGGGGCTGCGCCGCCGCGGTCGCAGCCGCGGGGCCGGCAGACAAGAAGGAGGAAAAGGAGGAGGCGCCGCCAGCCCCGGCTGTAGCCGAGCGCCGCCGCCGCTAGAAGTTTGGGTTGAACCGGAGCTGCCCGGAGGAAACTTTTTTCTTTTTTTTCCCCTCCCTCCCGGGAGGAGGAGGAGGAGGGGAAGCCACCACTGCCGCTGGCGCCAACGCTAGTGGGCTTGGGGTCGGCGCAGCCGGCAGGGGGGGCGGGGGCCTCGCCCCGCGAGGGGAGGCGCGCCCCGGGGGCCCCGAGGGGGGCGGCAAAGACCGCGGGCTGCGGGTGCGGCGGCGGCGCGTGTGCCCCGCGGAGGGGAGGGCGCCCGCCCCGCTCCCGGCCCGACTGCGAGGAGGCGGCGGCGGCGCAGGAGGATGTACTTGGTGGCGGGGGGCAGGGGGCTGGCCGGCTGCGGGCACCTCCTGGTCTCGCTGCTGGGGCTGCTGCTGCTGCTGGCGCGCTCCGGCACCCGGGCGCTGGTCTGCCTGCCCTGCGACGAGTCCAAGTGCGAGGAGCCCAGGAGCTGCCCCGGGAGCATCGTGCAGGGCGTCTGCGGCTGCTGCTACATGTGCGCCCGCCAGAGGAACGAGAGCTGCGGCGGCGCCTACGGGCTCCACGGAGCCTGTGACCGGGGGCTGCGCTGTGTCATTCGCCCCCCGCTCAATGGCGACTCCATCACCGAGTACGAAGTGGGCGTCTGCGAAGGTACGGCCGCCCGCCACGGGCCCCCTCCCACCTGGCCCGCGCTTCCCCTTTGGTGTTTGCTGCGCGGAACAAAGTTTGGCACAGACTTTCCCTAGGAGAGAGGGCTCTGTGGGAGGAGGGGCGGCCGCCGCCCCCGTGAGAGCGTCGTCCGCGTCTCTCTTCCCGCTGGTTGCTCCCCCCCTATCCCTGGTGCTTGGCCCGCCGCGGGCTAGGTTGGATTTCGTTGGTGGGCGCGGACGAATCGGGATCTTCCTGGGCCCCGCACAGACAACGCACACTCGGGACTGTTCTAGCGGTGGCTGGGTGGCCCAGCCCTGCGGTCCGAGGCGGGGGCAAGCGGACGGGGGCGCTGCGGTGCTGCCCGCGGGGCCCTGGGGGCATCCGTTGCCTGTTGCCCTCCCCTCTTTAGCGCAGTGTGGAAGCGTGTGCTACCTACTGTCCAGGAAAGTCCATTTTCTGTTGATGGAGGAGACGTGTCTCCAGCTAACACTGTGTGACTCGTTTATTATTATTATTTTTTTTCCTTGCGCTCTTCCTTCATCCTCTTTCTCCTGTGTATATAAATCAATTTCAGCTCCGGAATATGTCAGCCCTGGGGAAGTTACATACGGTGGTTACTTATTTATTTGCCTATTGAAAACGGTCAAAGGGTTTCCCTCCTGAAAGGAAAAAAGGGGGGTGGTGGATAAGAATTGCACCCAGGAGAGAAAAGTTGTTTCTCACTATTAGTGGCTGCTTTTAAAGATCAGATATCCGTGTGTTTCCAATCGTGTAGCTGGTTCCTTCTTTTTGTTTGTTTGACAGCGGGGATTGTTCTGCTGGTTTCTCCACTACGCATTGTGCATAGCGGCTGTGTTGAGACTGATGGAGGGAGAAAGAGATTAGATTAGTGTAGAGGGAGCTTCTGTTGTTGGGTGTCTGCCTTAATTTCAGCCTGCCTACTTCGGCCTTGGGTCTGGTTTGGCGTCTGAAGAAAAATAGATAGTGTGTGTGTTTGTGTGTTTAATCCATGAGCACAAGGAAAAGCGGGATCCCTGCTTCAGCTGAGGGTGGTGATGCTGTTCTGGGGTATCCTAGTGAGTGAGCAGAGGGAGCAGCAGGCTTACGTGGAGCGGCGCCCTCTGCCCCCAAGTCGTTCCTTACTACTCACAGCGATCACCTTGAAAAAAAGGAAAGGTTTATTCTGAAGCATACTTGTGTGTGTGTGTGTGTGTGTGGGCTTACTTTGTGTGTATGTGTGTGTTTATTGCATGGGGATAATGGAAAGAGGGATGACAATCTTAAGGATAAAAAAAATGGATTTCTTAAAATGGCTCTGTGATTCTCTTTAAATACACACATGCACACACATTTATTTACATTTGCAATTTTTAAAGTTTGAGCAAGCTGGAAAATCCAGGAGGTCTTTCTGGTTTGGAAGCTAGTGGGCGATAATGAGTGAAGGGAACTGTCTTCAAATGGAAGGTGCATTTCACTGCTGCATCCTTAAGACAGGTCCGGAAAAATCTTTTTTGCCTGAAATCTCACCTGGTGTTCTATTTATTAATATGGCTTTTGTTTCTTATGTCCAGAACATTGTTCGTCAGATGAACTTCTTAATACAATTTTATATGCTCTGCTTTGGTAACTCTGAATGACTTAGACTTAAGGAATGATTTTTGAACCCTGCTATTTGGAGTGCATTAACATACTTAACCCAGTCTCCCATAAATCTAAAAAAGAACAAGTAACAAGGAAAAAAATGGTTGAGGGCAATGGAAACTGCTATACATACTCTGAAAAGGACTTTCAGAGGTTCTGATTCTAACCTATGTTTGGTTTCTTTAATGTGTCTCTGGTGAAGGGAATGTGGAGCTAAGGGAACATTTACAGTAATCAAGTGTTTTGGCAGCATTTCCCCGGGTCACAGTATGGAGCTATTTTGGCAGTTGCTGGTGAGCCTTTCATTCTTCTGAAATGATTCGATCCTTCAGAACTTAGTTTTTTTGGTAACACCCCATATACTTGGTATTAGCCTTGAAAATGCTTGAAAAGCAAATTGACATGATTATATCTCAATTAGTGTTCTCTGGCAACACTTTGCATTTAAGAGGCCTGTTTTCAGCTACCAAAATTGTGTGTTCAGGGCATTTATTTTAGAATTCTAAAAGCATCACTCTAGTTGTATTCTAAATCCACAAAAGCAAAGAAAGAAAGACAGTGTTACCTGGCATATACAATAGGACGGCTGGATTTAGACAGAGATTGTTGTGCTCATGTGTCTAAAATTTCAAATATTTTTACTTTATAGCAAGGTTTATGAAAAAGTAGTATGAGTAACCTTTGTCTTTATTTTCTCTTTTTAAGGATTAGAGGAGTCTTTGTTGTTATTAAGTGCCATTGAGTCAGCTCTGACTCAACAACCTTGTATAGGGTTTCTGAGGAGCTGCTGGTGAGTTTGAACCTCAAGGTTCAAACTGATTTTGTGGTCCATTGCTTATGTAGAAGGTGCTGACTATCTCTTGTTTTTCTGTTGCTTTGTGTAACAATGGGGTGGCTGGGCTTTCAGAGTCCCTCTCCATACTTTCAGTTGATTCTGAGTCGTAATGACACTACATAAAGAGTGTAGAACTGTGCCATTGGGGTTCTAAGGCTGTAAATCTTTTCAGAAACAGACTGCCACTTCTGTTTCCTGCTAAGCATTTAGTGGGTTCGAACCTTTTGGTTAGTAGCCCAGTGTTTAACCCCCTGCACCACCTGGACTCCTTCTAACTTCACAAGAGAGAAAAAATTGTCATCAACATTGTTGTTGTTACTAAGTGCCGTCAAGTCGGCTCCAACTTATAGCGACCTTGTATAGAATTTCCAAGGAACAGCTGGTGGGTTTGAACTGCCGACCTTGTGGCTCCCAGTCCAGTGCTAATTCTACAGCCCCACACTAGGACTTTTGACCCAAGGCTGATTCCTGTAAGGTGAAGGTCTGACATGTCATCTCTTTCTATCTAACCTTTTTAACCAGTTCTGATACCAGCCATCCCTGAGTTTGGTAATTCATTGAAATGTACACACAGACTTAATAGACAATAGTGATAATTATGTGTTTATTAGGGAAGTAACAAGTTATAATTCAGGATCTGACAGGCTTAGGATACAGTCTTTAGTGAGGACAGTTTTCTCAGCCGTGTCCACAAGAGGCCTCTCTCTGGCCCTTGGTTGGCCTGGCCTCTGTCCTGGTCCAGCAAATGTTACAGAGCTCTACCTCCTCAGATAAGTGCCCAATAAGCTGACTTGACCATTCAACTTAGTGCTCGGCTGTGCTACCTGTAAATCTGTACAGAAGCAGACTGCCACATCTTTCTCCTGCTAAATGGCAGGTGGATTTGAACCTTTTAGTTAGCAGCCTTATGCTTAACCCACCATCTCTCCAGTGTTGTAACTCCCTTTCTCCTAGAAAGGTCTAGAAGGCTCTTGGCACAGGAATCTCAAGTGTAAAGATAAACAAAAGATGCTCCTGTCTCCTCTTCTTGATGGCAGTGAGGTCTACCTGTCCAACTCTGAGATGGCTCATTTTAATTAAGCACTGCAGGTTCATTCAAAGTTGGTTTTGGACTGGCTCCTCTGAAATCCTTTAAGGGTCGCTATGAGTTGGAACCGACTCGATGGCACTTAACAACAACAACCCTCACAAGGTGAGTCTTGGTGTAGTGCTATAGAATATATAGCACTGGACCACAAGGTCGGTTTGAACTACAAAGTCAGCAGTTCAAACCCACCAGCTTCTCCTTGGAAACTCTCTACAGGGCTGCTATTAGTTGGAACAGACTCGATGGCACTTAACAACAACAACAACCAAACAAGGGGAGTCCTGGTGTGGTGCTGCAGGATATTGCACAGGACTGCAAAATCAGCTTGAACCACAAGGTCTGTGGTGTAAACCCACCAGCTACTCTTCAGAAACCCTAGACAGGTTCACTATGAGTCAGAACCAGCTCGACCGGCACTTAACAACAACTCTCACAAGGGTGTTATGAACTTCATGTGCTTTATTAGAAAGTTGTCCAATCCCTCTGGTGGCCTTCAAGCATCTAATGTGCATAGTCTCACTCATTCATTTGGTTGAAGTTAACAAAGCCATGACAATAAAAAGTAATATATTGCGCTGTGCTTTACAAGAAATTTCTCAATGGCCAGACTCTCCTTCAGTTTCCAGTTTTATTTAGAAATTCACATGACTATCATAACTAAAATGAATACGAATTGATACAGTTTATTCATGTGAAAACAGTCTTAGTGTTGCAATCAGTAAAATGTGTAGCTGAGAACTGAAAGGTCATTGGGTCAAACTCACCAGCCACTCCAAGGGAACAAAGATTACAGTCTTGGAAACCCTATAGGACAGTTCTTCGCTATCCTATAGGGTTACTATGACTTCAGATTGACTCTATGGCAGTGGATTTCGTTTTGTTTTGTTTTATTCGTGTGAAATCTCTTCTGCTGCAATATTTGCACTAAACTGACCCCTACTGGTTGTCTCTATTAATGAAAACTATTTCTTTAATTGGCTACACTGAAAAAATGTATTGCACATTACCAAAATATTATCATGACTAATCGACCTGCTTTTGATGTTGTAATTTAAATAAGAATTACATTGCCTTCTGCCTGCCAACTTTCAGTAGTTTTGTGTTATTCCTCATCCTGGCTTTGTGGAGAAGAAGAAAAAATTCTCGTTTTTAACTGTTTCACACAGTGAGTTAGATACATCAGGGGTAGAAGTGAACCCCTTCTGATTTGTGGCTCACTGTTTTAGGTTTTAAAACATACTGGCACATAGTAAGCTCTTCATAAATGTGCATAGAATAAATGGATGAAAAACTACACGAACACTGGAGAAGAAATAATGTTTTCTGAAAGAATAAACAAAGTGAAGAGAGTTGTGTCTTGTGAACCATATGAGATATACCTGAATTTCTTTTCAGGATATTTTATGTTTTTATTACCTAGATCCTGATTTAATTATA